GGAACTGACTCTCTAGCCCTACCATTTTTGCATACATTACCTCATTCAATGATCCCGATCATGTACAAGGTGCTTTACTATCATCTGCCTTTCCATACGGCAATACACTTTGGCTCAGAGACATTAAGCAACCTGCCCAGAGTCCCACAGCTACCCAAGGGCACAGCCTGACCCCAGATGGGGCAGTCTCTTTTCCTAGATGCTTCTTGGCCCCAGGGTCTCTAAATGGGCCCCCAGGATTCGCCCTCTCATCGGTTGCCACACTGTCTTTGGTTGTCTCATCCACTGTCTCCAGTTGTCACCTCTGTGGCAGTAACTCCCAGTTCCCCACTCACAACTCCACTCCCTTCCCATGCGCCAGACCTGCGGGTCGACAGCCTGCTTGACTTCTCGAACATCCCGTGTTCCTCTGGCTGGCCTCGTGTTGGACAGTCACGAGGAGGGATGACCGAAGTTCCAGAGCTGGTGATAAGGGCAAGAAGACAGTGCAGACAAGGTGCCCGCTGCAATAAGAGGGGCGGAGCAGCAGGGGAGGGTGCTGCAGCTGCTCTTCATCCTGGATAGAAATAAATGATAGCCCGCAACTGTGCAGATAATTACAAGTCCGTGCTGCTAGCATGGACGCCTTGATGACTAATAGTCTAAACAGCATAACCACATGAAACCGCCTCACAAACCGTCCTAGTCTCTGCCCATTTCTCCCAGGCCTGGGGCGGGGCCATGCAAAGAGACAAGCATATTTTGGTTCTTAGGTAACTAGCTGATTAAGGAACTGTCAAAAATATGCATTTTTATTTATTTTTAGGAAAGGGTGGATTGATTTTAAAATACCTGATAGCTCTGGTGGGCGTAGTGCCTGAGGCATTTGACTGCTAACCAGAAGGCTGGCAGTTCAAACCCACCAGCCACTCCTCAGAAGGAAGACTGGGCAATCTACCTCCATAGAAATACCACCTCAGAAATGCCTCAGACTCAGGAGGGGTCGCTATGAGTAGGGACTGACTTGATGGCATTGAGTTTTTTTTTTTTTTTTTTTTTTTTGCAGATAAAGGAATAGTTGCTCACCATTTGGCATTATTTTCCTTCCAACAAAATAAAATTGATATGGTTATAAAAAATAACTTGAAATGAATAAATAATAATTCAAGCACTATCCCCTAATATATTTCAGAAGGAAATGGAAATGTCTGAACGTTTCCACTCACATGAACATAGCCTTATGGTATGTACTATAATCTTCTGTAGGAGCTCTGGTAGCATAGTGGCTAAAGCACTTGACTGCTAACCAGAAGGCTGGCGGTTCAAACCCACCAGCCACTCCTTGGAAGGAAAGTTGGGCAATCCTACTTCTGTAGTGATACTGCCTCGGAAACCCAAGGAGGGGTCGCTATGAGTCGGGGTCGACTCGATGGCACATAACAACAACAACAACATAATCTTCTGTATCAATAACATATGTAAAGCATTTTACCTTAAACTAGCTTTATAATTTACATTCTTGTTCAGCAGGTTTGAATCTGTTTCTCTAGAACAATTTTTTTTAACATAATTTATTGCTATTGCTGTGGTTGAGAATATATACAGAAAAACATACACCAATTCAACAGTTTCTACATGTGACACTTGTTCTCTAGAACAATTTTTAAGAGTTGGAATATAGGTAACTATAAACTATGGGTTTTTTTTTTTCATTTTTTAATTTTAAGGTTTTCATAACAAGCTTTAAAGACGTTAGAAGCAGAACTTTAATAATGTGGTCCAGTGGACAAATGTACACTACTGTGCTGTGATCTCATGCACATACGACGACTTAAGCCTTGAGACCACAGCTCTCCTAGTGCGAGTCTCAGCTTCAATACTCTAAAACAGGTTTGCCTAGCTATGAAATTCTAAGACTTAACACTCAACTTTTTATTGGTAATTTCTTAAACTTTAGGGTTAGACGAGTACTTTACAAATCGGGAGAAATGATCTTGTTTACTAGGTCAAAGCTGTAGGAACGGAGCCGCTGGTGGGCTGTGGTCATACCCTTTCCGATTCTTCCTTCCCGGGGATTTGTTCTCCAGTATTCTCTCATGAGCTAGTGATGAAACAGGCCTAGGAATGCCTCTGGCTTGGGAGGAGCCTGGCCCTGGCCGGTGTGTGGGTAACGCTTAGCCCGACTCCCATTTTGGTCTCAAGCAGCACCACACTGTTCCATTCCATTCCTTGGATTTGTCTTTCACAACCAATGAAGTGATAAGATTTCTAAGCCTGAGTTCAGACTATGAACCCAGTGGAAAAAGTCCAAAGAGACCATTGGGCTTTTACTAAATGTTACCATTACAGGCCAGTGGGTTGCAGTCCTGGCTGCAAAGGGGAGTCAGCAGCAGAGGCCAGGCCCTACACCAGACTGGTTAAGTGGGAATCTCGGCGGGCCAGACCCAGAAAGTTCTTTTAAAGCTTTCCAAGTGATTGCAATGTACAACTTAAAGTTACAACCCTAAGTCCTGAGTCCGCCTTTAACATAGGCCCCTCCCTCCAAACAAAGATTTCAAAATTAACACTTGACAGACTTCTAATCATTCTGACATGAATGGCTGAGCACGTTAGATAATGCATAGAAACATAAAAGGAGAGACAGTAAACAAAAAATACATATTGCTAGTGATGTGATTGTAGTCAAATTTTATTTTTTGAACAAAAAATTAAGACAATGATTTTAAATAATAAAACATGATATATTCTAGACACTTGTTTTTTTTTTACAGACAACTTATTAAAGTTGGATCCTACAGTTCTGTTGTGATGCTTTCCTCAACATTTATATAATTTCTCAGCATTCTGTCAGCACTCCAGTTGTGCTAACACAAAGAAGCACTCTGTCGGCTCATGTGAAGACTTTTAGGAAACACTCCACTGCCACATGAAGCACACACAGAACAGTCATTTTAAAAATATTTACAAAACACATGAAGTCTGTCTAGCCATTTTGGTTTTGTTGCTGCATTGCCCAGACTGAGATCAACATAAAGCTAAGAAATAAGCCAGTTCTCATATCAGCAGGGCAAAGGATGCCATCAACCAAACTTCATTAAACAAACTGACAAATTGCAAACATAGCAAAATCCAACTTCGGTACGAATTATTTAAAAAAATAAACATGTAGTGGGTCACAACCAGACTGGTTTTCACTGTGCAGCTTTCCTCAGGGAACACTACCATCCAGTTCACATGAAGCAAGGAATATGCAGGAAAGCCTTTGTTCATGAAAAAAGAAAAAAATGCCCTTCAGATTCATCATAAGGCAACAAAGCAGAAAAGAAAGAGAGCATTTGGCCCACAGAAAGCTTAAACAGAATGTGTACACATAGCATATACACATTTACAGAGATATTGCAATTTAAACTATGTGTATAGTCATTAGACAACTAAACGTATTGGCTCAGTGACATGAAAGGGCCCATTTACTATAAATATGTAGTTATTGCTAATATGCTACACTTTATGCTTTGACATGGAAAGTGTGTAACAGAATTTACAGCTGCCATATTGCCAGTGTTAGCCCTGCAGTATAGGCATCCATATGGACAACATGCCACCCAATTAGGAAGAAAAAGCAGAAATACCATTACGGAGAAAAAAAAAGAAAGAAAGAAAGGCTTATGCACCATCCCTTACATTTTTGCTTTAAAAAAAAAAACAGTCCAGTTCACCACAAGTTAAGCACAACCTGACAAGCAAATTTAGCGGCATGACGGGAAGAAAAGGGTGACATACAGCATGCATTCACAACTAGCACTGACGTAGTCTATTCTGTCATACAAACTGGAATACAAAAATCCAATTTAAATAAGACTAGACTAACTGTAATAGTAAACCAACCATACACAGTAGACTTAGTTTGATTAATTTTAACAGTAAAATTCATCCTGTCCCCTCTTCATACTCTATGATCATTTATTTATTGATGGCTAGAATATTTACTTACTTAAAAAAGATATTAAATACCTGTGTCATGAAATTACATTCTTAATAAGACATACTGTGTAAGAAAATAGCTCATGTGTGAAATGTGTCTGAAATGCATTTTTCCTCACAACTATCAAAACATACACTCAACACTAAAACAAAACCCCCCTGAAAAAGTTAAGGAAAGATGGGGTAGATTGAATGAGGAGCAGGGAAGGAAAGGCTTAGCTAGACTAATTACAGCACAGTGATTAACAATGGTTCAAGACAGAACCAACAAGTGTTGGTCAAAAAGATATCTTCAATAAATGGCTACAATTAAAAAGCAAACTCAGCCACTTTTGGTTCATTGCAGTGAGACCAAAAAATCTCTCTCACAGATTCATATAAATACTATACTCCAGCTCTTTTATTATTACTTTTTAAGCTATTCCGTGTGTTTTTGCAAGGCCCATCTACCTTATTACAATTTAATTTGGCTCTGCAACAACTATAAGAGGTAGGCATACAGCATGAAAAAGTTTCTCAGTTAGTACCTCACTGGGTTGGTGGGTTGTTCACTGAAGAATAACATTCACTTCAGACATGAAAACTGATAATCTTCTCGGCTTTTCTGAACCCCGGAACAAGGCTGCTGCCATCCCCTAAATGTTTTAAAAGCATGTACTCACAAATAAGAAACTTTTTCTACTGAAGGATACTGTCATAGTGTTTGTTGCAGGGCATCCATATATATGTAGGTATACATATACATATATATATAAATCTATACACACACATACACACACGCACACACACATATATATACATATATGTATGTATATATTTATTAAAAAAATAAACAGACAACAATAGCAAAACAAACCCAGGTTCCTAGAACCAGTCCTCTTGATTCTCTACTTCCACAAAATAAAGTGTACCATTTGGCGAAGTCTAGACATATGTTTTTGTTTGTATGTTTTTTGTTTTTTCTCTCACAGATGCAAGTGTCATGCAAAATAAATTAAAGAACAGTTACCAAAACATACATGTGATAAAACTATTGAAGGTAGATCTTTAAAAGCATTTATATAAACATAATTTATAATACTTCTCCTTTTTCCTTTATATACAGTCACAGAGCTGTGGTTATACATCTAGGATTTCCTCCGCTGTGCCTCCACAGCGCAACCTGTAGCGACCAGTTCTCCAGCTTATAGTAGGGTCCCATAATGCCGACAAGAAGATGTATATTGTCATGGATTCACGGATGAACCACGCTACAGCATAATCAAGTTTTGAAAAACACAGTGCACCACCCTAGGAATTAAAAAGGAAAAAAAAAATTAATCTACTGACCATCAGACTAAAGAGAAACTAGAACACACAATTTGCACTTTACTCTCTAGGTACGCTACACCAAATCAAGTCCATTTCATTAACTACCATGTCACAGCATGGAAGCTAATTGTGAGTAGAAGCAACCTTAACTGTTAACCCAAATTATTCTTAGTTTGAATACTCGGATTTACTAGTTTTTTGGCGCCTTCCTAAAAATTATTTTATAACCAATCAAAAGTTGCAAATCAAGTTAAGTTTTAGCTCAATACTACACTAGGGAAAGTAATGTTTAAACCTGGTATTAACCTTTCAATAGGAGGCTGAAGATTGGCTCCTATTTGATTATCTTCAACCCTTTCTAAATTAGTGTTAGTTCCACCAAATAACTGGCAGTTCCTTTCATGCTCAGACACATACCTGGACGCCCCTGAGTTGAATGTAGTCAAATATAAACCATGCCAGGCAATGACACATGAAAAATACCATAATATCCCATCTGAACACATGGTGGGCTGCCCATCCAATAATTAAACTGGCAACAAAGCATTCAGAAATTGGCTCACAAATTATTGTAGCAGGAAGCATGTTAATTCGTAATTTGGTCCACCTTAAAAAAAAAAAAAAAATTCCCTTTAAAGAATAGTCTAGTTTCAAAAGTTATCAGGATCCACCCCCCTAAAAAAATGATCAACTCTTTACACTATCATATAAAGCCTCCTATTTAAAGCATTTCCCACAAATCTATTTTCTATGACATGAAAGTCTATAAATTCATTTAAGTGGCCTACACTCTGATAAACAATAAAGCTTTTAAAAATTTACTCAAAGTGTAGAAAAGTTAGAAGATCCAGGTTAGTAATATAACAAAAATTCAATCCGAGTCTTAATAGCTCTTCTTTGAATGTTTTCAGTGTTACACGTCAAAGAAAATGTATTTAGAGATAACAGTTATTTTAATACAGGAGGTAAACTCTCTCTTCTGAATTAAACTAAACAAATATCTGACCTTGAGATTTTTATCTTACCAAGTTGGACCATGTAACAATTATGCCCCTCCTCCCTTTTAACAATGTACAAAAAGCAGATGACAGACAGTTCATGTACCTGATCATTCTGGATTGGAACTGAGAAATTGAGTATGAGCCAGAGTTTTGCATTGCAACTTGAGTGGACATTGCAAATCTCCAACCTCTGAAAATTAAGACAATTATAAAATGAGCTGTGACGATGAACAAACTTGCAAAATACTTGCAAGCATGACTGGTTATGAGTTTATTCATCCCTGTAAAATGTAAGCAATTGCTGGTGTTCAGAGTGAACCCAGTCCTCAGGTTTTCTTAAATTACTTACGGTCTCTTGCCCTTATGGATATTTTAGCAATTATGTTGGCCTATAACAGATTCATCTTAAGAGCTGGAAGGAACTACAACCCTCTTACTTATGGTTTAAGAAACTTAAAATGTACTGACTCTGAAAGTACAAAATGGAGAGTGTTCTATATTTAATGATTTAATCTCTGGTCATTACTAACCCCACCCCAACAAAAGGGTGTGTGTGTGTGTGTGTGTATGTATGTGAATACTCAACAAAAATGTAAACACAAAGTGGCATTATGTATCTCAGAAGAAACACTATGAAGCCATGAATTCATAAACACTATCATGAGAGAATTTTTTAAACATACTTTAATTTTTAAGCATATTTTTAGTAAATGGCCATACAAGGCAGTGATCCCTTAAAAATAAACAAGTATCATTTTGTGATAGAGAAATATTAAGTCAACCAAATGAATTAGTAAATGGTGTTGTTTTTTTTTTTTCAGCAAAGCATAAAATAATCTGAGAAATTTAAATTCTTGAAATTACTTCCTTTAAATGTTCACCTACTGGCTCATGACTGCACTGGTATTTTTAATTCTTCTAAAACACATAGAAATTTACAGGTCTAACTAAAGAAAATTCAAAATCACAGACATCCCTACCCAAACCCCTTGCCATCAAGTCAATTATGATTCATAGAGACCTTGTAGGACAGAGTAGACCTGCCCATAGGGTTTCCAAGTCTGTAAATCTTTATGGAAGTAGACTGCCTCATCTTTCTCCCGTGGAGTGATCGGTGGGTTCAAACTGCCAACCTTTTAGTTAGCAGCTGAGAGCTTAGCCACCAGGGCTCCTAATCATGGAGATGTACCTTTTTAATTACTTCAGACCATATCAATGTGAAGACTGTAGAAGACTCAGAGCATTTATTTGCTCCGTTACTATTCATCTATGAATAATTAATATGAAATACTCTATTAACCTACTCTGAATTCACTACTAAGATATAAAATAAAATAAAATAGTCCTTTACTCCATGGGTTTCACAATGAGAATAAACCAACAGAAGTTAGGTACGAAAAATCTATGACCTAATTTAATTTAGCCTTACCGGTCAGCTATCGCTTTGGCCATGAAGTAATCTTCAGCAATGTATTGGGCAAAAGCTATAAGCCCTCCTGCTTGATCTAATACATCCTTTCTCATTAAGCAAGACATTCCTGTCACACATTTGAAACCAGTTACATTGGCAGAGATATAGGACCTTGGGTGTGAAGTTCCAAAATACACCTGGCAAAAAAATACATATGTATAAAATTAGTATTTACATTACAAGTATGGTGTATATAAACCATTTTTGCTAGTGAATTATCTCTAAATGTGACTGAATGAATATCCTAACATACTGTCTAAATAAAAAGTGCTTGTACAATACATAGTGTTTACATGCAGCAGTCAGTCATTTCTTATTCGATTGACTAGTCTTATAGTTAGACCATTACAAAGAAATATGTATTCCTAGGAGGGAAAGGTATATTCTATTTGCAAATAAATAGTCTTGTCTAAAGCTGTAAGATTCAATTTGATTACAAAATAAGATTTTAAAAAATCACTCAATATTGACATATAAAATATTAAATATTTCATGTATCTTGACTTTCAGATGTTCATATATTTTATATATATATATGTATGTGTGTATATATATATATGTATATATACACATATATATATATATGAAGTAATATATGGCCTATCAACTTACATGATAGCTAATTCTTTTTATCCCTTAGTTCTCTTTCTTATATCGAGAAACTAGAAGCTTCCTGCCCCATAGTCAGTGAGCTTCTTTCCAATTATACCAATTTTATCTTTCAGTGTGTTTTTTATAAATAAGGCAGGTATTAACATTCTATTTCCCCTCCTACCGCTCCTTCCCTAGATATACTATGAAGACAGAGATATACAAGGTGCTAAATCAATGGCAGAAAAAGATGCTCATCAATCTTACTTATTAATCCTAAAAAACCAACACCAAACCCACTGTCATCAAGTCAATTCCAACTCATAGTGACCTTCTAGGACCGAGTAGAACTGTCCTATAGGGTTCCCAAGGCTGTAACTCTTTACTGAAGCCGACTGCCACATCTTTCTCCTGTGGAGCAGCTAGTGGGCTTGAACCGCTGACCTTCTGGTTAGCAACTGAGTGCTTTAACCCCTGTGCCGCCAGGGCTCAGTATTAGCCATAAAGCCCTATTTATTATTTACATCTTAGATGCACTGCCTTTTCTAATTAGCTTGAGTTAGAGAGTAGTCATCTTTCTCATGACAGGAATTACAAAGTGCATAGCCTGAAATAAGAATTTTAAGGGGTCATTAAGAAATGATTCTTACTATCTATCCTATGCCCAGACTCCAGTGAATCCCTGGTATGGAAATGAATCAAACCAAACTTCTGGGACCAAAAGTATGCATCTTAATTCTTCATGCAGTTATTAAGTGAGGTCTTAGGAACCAGGTGAGACTAAGGACTGGATTTCAGGCTCCCAGGCTTTCTTTACAGACTGCAGTAACACTTCTGGCCTATCTCCATCTATTCTAAGTGCAGCAGAGTGATCTCTAAGAATTAAAATTAAACTAAGAGAGTGGTTGTATTCCGGGAGATGTTTACCACCAGCATATATACCAATTTGGATATTTGTACAACCAAAGAAAGAATTTAGGATGTCTAATTTTAAAGCAGCTACCCAAAGCATATACGAGAGGCAGGACATATTTTTGTTTCTTTTAATAAACAAAAACTCTGGTATTTAAGACTCATGATTTCTTGCAGTAAGACAAATATACTACTAGGCATTAGTAAGAAAAAGCTCATGATTCAGATTGCCAAAGGTCAATGTACTTTTACCCCTCTTAGACCTGTGGCAATCATAAAACTGCAATTCAAAAGATTATGACTGCAAATTACTTAAGAGATTAAAACCACATAAAACAACTCTATATCTATATAAAGGTATATGTGGAGAAAGAAAGAGACACATTAAAATCATATATCCTTCCCTTATTAACATCAAAACAAGGTTTTCCCCCTAAATGTGTGACTGTACAGTAATGGTTAGGTCAATTATGGGGCATACTCAGGACAGACTATGACACAGCCCAGAAAAATTACTTTTATAAAAAAAGTAATGATATAGGAAAGGCTTATGAAGTAAGTGAAAATAAGATAAAACTTCTTTTTAGAGTACTAACTCAACTATGAGTTTAAAAAGACACATAGAAAAAAAGAATCTCAAATGTTCAAAATGCTTTCTAAAACAAGTTTTGAAAATAAATCTTCCTCTAAATGATGGAGCTCTGGGTAATTTTCTTTTTTGTTTTTTATACTTTTCCACAATTTATAGTTCCTTACAAACAAATTTCTTTTTTATGCTGAAGGAAAACAGAAAAATACGTTTCTCAGCTATTAGAAATCCTTAAAGGAAATCAAATGAATTTCATAATGACTTGTGTAAATGTTTCTTTCTCATTACAATTTTTTTTTTTGCATATATACAGTATTTGAAATACTTCATGATATTTAAACAGGGTTCTTTTCAGACTGAACCTCTGAAAGAATATATGACATACACTTTCAAGCAGTCAACAGTCTAGAACTGAACTCCAGAAGTGAAAGTGAGACCCCTAAGAAATAATAATGTACTGTGTTCAGCTGGAAATAAGATTGCAGGATACTTCCTCTGTACATCCATTCACTGCCAGTGTGCAGTCAGTTCAGGAGTGAGTGATTCCAGGGGGTCCAAGAATTTCCTCCCTAATGAAAACAGCTATTCTCAACTTGAAGATTCTAGTACACAGTAGCTTCCCAAAGAGACTTTATAGAATTTAACTTCAGGTAGCTAATCCTAACTTTTAGGCTTAGAATAGTCTCAAACTTCTTGGAGATCAGGGATCTGGTAACATATCACTTATGACCACCACACTTACCTGTTCTAATGTGGCAGCAAAGCCCTGTCTGTCTGCTACATAAGGCAGCCCATGAACCAAGCCTACTTTCTCCGTCATTTGATTAACCATGTCTGTAAGAGTGTCTGGAATTACTACAATTAAAAAAAAAGTGGGGAGGGAGAAACAAATTTTAGTAAAATTCCTACTAGCATAAAATATACTTTATGAGTTATTAAATTCTTCTCAATATTTGGATGTAACAAAATGAATCTTAAATCACCTTTCTGAGCAGAATACAAAATTGCAGAAAGGTAAAATTTGTGGTTCTTTTAATTTACTAATTTACTCTACACATTTCATCTCAGTCTATACCTAATATGTACTGAGGCAGGGGATACTTTGAAACCACGCCCCCCCCCCCTTCTGAACCTCTGCACTGACGTAACAGACAACGTGTCCCAGTGGAAAAGGCAGAGGAGCAAAAGTCAAAGGACCTCACATCTTGTGCTGGCCCCTCTAGTCTCAAACCATAGAAACTGACTCCCCACTGCTTCAGTCAGTATAACATGTAATCTATGGCAGAGACCTGCTGACCAAAATGTGATGAGACTGTATTTGACAAAGAGTTGTCCAGAGAAAGCATAACAAATAGATGACAGCAATAAGTTAAGGCTGCAAAAGTGGAGAATGAGCATAATCTCTAACCATGGATGACAGATGTGTAATGGTCCTGATTAGTTAACAGGAGGGCTACACTTGTATTACTTTTCAAATTTGCATTTTAAACTAATATAAAAATATCAGTCATTATCCTATCTTGAAATAAAGATTTCAGAACATTTTACATTTATAAGTATTTAAGAACTAAATCTATTCTATACAACAAAGTACATTTGGACCTCAAGTATTTAAAAATCATCTTTTAGGGCAGTCGTGCTCAGCTTGGGGTAACTTTGTCCCCATCCCATCCCCGGGAATATTCTGTGATGTCTGGAGACATTTTGGTTGTCAAGACTGGGGTGGGGAAGTGCTGCTAGCATAGAGTGGAGTAGAGGATGCTGCTAAGCCTCCTACAAAGCACAGGGCAGCCTCACAACAAAAAATTATGCAGCCCAAAATGTCAAGAGTGCTGAGGGTGGGAAACGTTACTCTATGGTTAAGAATGACACGTTCAGAATATAAGAGGTTTACAGAACACTGAAATCAATATTTTGTTGTTAAGTGCCATCGAGTCATTTCCGACTCATAGCGACCCCATGCACAGCAGAACAAGCGATATCATAGCTGTTGTCAGATGGATCTTGGCTCAAGGCAAAGAAATCAATATAAGGACACATTAATATGTGTAAGTATGTATATTTAAAAATTTAATGCAAATGATAAGTAAAATAACCAAGTATATATTCTAACAAATGTATATAAATCAAAAAACCAAACTCACTGCCATCAAGTCGGTTCCGACTCACAGCGACCCCTTCCTTGGGTTTCCAAGCTGATATTTCTATGGAAGTAGATTGCCCAACCTTCCTTCCGAGGAGCGGCTAGTGGGTTTGAACCGCCAGCCTTCAGTTAGCAATCAAATGCTTTAGGCACTATACCACCAGAGCTCCTAATAAATGTGTAATTCTAGTAAAATATGCACCTATTGACTGCCATCTCTTTGTGTAAGATAGTGTATTATTTGAGCCACAAACAGATTAAAGTAAAAAGTAAGAGTCTCACAAACAAGAGAAAAGTTTACACACACGAGAGAACTTGTACATTGCATAATGGAAAATAATATATACTTTTTAATTGGCTGGAATTTTCTCCTCAAAGTGAAAACATGTTTTAAACATGTAACATCCTAGATTGGGATTGAAAAATCAAAATCTTTGGATAAGATTTTTCAGATTGCTTTTGGCATTTTTTCAATGAAAAGCTTTATAAAACAAGTAAGAAAAACTCACCTCTTATTCCACTATCACAAATCCATATAAGATCATACTTTGCAACTTCATATCCTGGCATTAAATTATTAATTTTAGGGTTAATGCCAACCTTTTTACCACCTAAAAATATAAAGTTACAGAAGTGAAAGATGTAAGTAACATTAAAGATATTTTCTATTATACAGATACAAGGTAGGAAGACATGAAACATAGTTGCACATTTTAATAATTAAACTAACACACTTTCATGTTACATTCTTCTTTACATTCCCTACTATTCATAATAAGTATTTAAAAGTTGTCCTTTTTCAAAAGGAGAATTATGTGTTTACCTTTAACTTATCTTGCCTTAATAGGTAGTAAATATGAATCAGTATTTAATGCCAAATATATGTCTTCAAGTCTTCAGAAAAAGCCTGTAGGCTTTTAGAAAAATATTCTTTTGTAACATAGTAAAACTGAATCTCTCACTAACTCTCCATCATAGTCAATAAGAAGATAGAAAAAGGCTACACACTGAAATTATTAAAGAAACAAAAATGGCAGGTTCTCATATCTCATTGATAGGTGTAACATATTTTAGGTAATTTTTTCATTGTCACTGAATCCCAAACAAATATGGAAAAAAAAACAAACTTTATTTTTATAACTCAAGTTTTTCAAAAGGATGTAAATACCTTTCACTACACTGATAATCTTAAAACTAACATGCTAATAACTTCACTGGGTGGCCAGCATCTTAATCCACAGTTTAATGCAGAGACAATTACTGATACTTATTATTAAAGCAAAGGTTAATGCAGAACGTGTTACTTACCTATGAACAATCGAGCATCCACATTAGGGTATTTTCCAAGAAGTTTCTTACATACATCAATGGCTGGATCATCATGATCTTGTACACAAAGGAGTACTTCATACTAGTCAAAGAACATATTTCATGTCAATTAACCTCTTTCAAAAAAAATAAGCATTTATCAATTAGCCTCTACTGACTGATTAAAAAGCACTAGAAAAGCAAGCAATTGTACATGTGAAGTTTAAGAGTGTATTCACAACGAATGCAAACACTTATGATAACAAGTGTCACTTTAATTGAGAGCAATTTCTCCAGAACAGAGGCCTGTGTGCAAGCAGAGGAAACTGGCAGCACTCAGCGCTGAAGTCCTGCCATTGCCACACAGGCGCGGCCGAGTCATTCAACTGGCTCTCCAGCCTCTCTGGGCCTTCCTCCCTGATGAGGGACCACTGCAAGCTCACCAGGGCCCCCAGCAGTGCCATCAGCAACCCAGCAAGCTAAAGAAACAGAGCCCCCACCGGCCGGAAGGCTTTATCCGAACTCTGTATCTCGGAATCCGAGTTTAGTATTACTTAGAGGACTTTGCTGAAGTCTTTACAGGAAAATGACAAACTGAGATTAGATTTTGTTGTGGCATAATAACTCCTTTTTAAATAAAATCGTACTTGACTGGATTCAAAATGATGTACCATCCCAAAAAGCATGCTTAGCCTTGTAATTACAGAAACACCCAGGATTTCACTCAGCCCCGTCAGTGCTATATTTAGTCTTTGATAGTAAATCAAGGAAGTTATTTCTTAGCACTTGACTGGCTGTGTCAAAATTACCCTGGGCCATTTATTACAAATAAAGAATATGGAGGAACTCTGATGGCGTAGTGCCTAAGGCACTTGACTGCTAACCAGAAGGCTGGCGGTTCAAACCCACCAGCCACTCCTCGGAAGGAAGGTTGGACAATCTACTTCCGTAGTGATACTGCCTCGGCAACCCAAGGAGGGGTTGCTATGAGTCGGATCCAACTTGACGGCAGTGAGTTAGAGAACGCAGGGTTCCATTCTTAGACTTCTGAATCAGAATCTCTGGAGTCATTCTGACATGTAGCTAGGTTCGTAAAATCTTGAGCTAAATCTTTAAGGTTCTTATTTAGTGAATTACTAATTTATTTTTTATTTAAGTATTTGCTTTCACATACAAGGATGCCAGTGTTGGGCAATCTACTTTCGTAGTGATACCGCCTTGGAAACTCAAAGAGGCGACGGTCGCTATGACTCGGGTCCAACTTGACGGCACATAACAACAACAACAGCAAGCTAACTCATGCAATGGAAAGAGGGGAAGGTCTATTTTATTTATGTCTATTGATAAGCATATTCCAGTAAAAAGTAAAACTATAATGCTTTTAATGCCACTGAACACAATAATAAATCACTATTTTCCTAATATTTATTATATTAGCAAAAACTGGCAAGTAAGAGAGAAATTTGTGGTTGAGCACAAAAGGTCCAGAACTAAGTTCAATGAAGAAGGTAGTAAGATTTTTTTTTTTCAAGTGAAAAGACAATTTTCAATAATTAAAAAGAAAAACTGTATGTATTTTTCTTATACTTTCTACTTACTGTCATTATTATGGACTATATCCAATAATTGCCTTTAACAGTAACTGACCAGAATTACCACTCACTGTCGGAAGGAAGATGGGGCAATCTACTTCCACAGTGATACTGCCTCGGAAACCCAAGGAAGGGTTGCTATGAGTCAGGTCTGACTCGACAGCATATAAAAACAACAACAACAACAACAACCGGATCTCTGGTAGCATAGTGCTTAAAGCATCTGACTGCTAACCAGAAAGAAGGCTGGCAGTTCAAACCCACCAGCCACTCTTCAGAAGGAAGATTGGCCAATCTATTTCTGCAGAGATACCGCCTCAGAAACCAAAGGAGGTGTCACTATGAGTTAAATTGGCAGGGCAGTGAGTTTGTTTGTTTGTTTGTTAGAGGTATTAAGACCAAGTGCAGTTATCTCCTCTCCATAGAGGAGATATAATCTGAGAATGGGAAGGGCACCAGTCCCAGCACACCCTTGCAATCTCTTTCAACACCTTCTCCCATCTTGACTCTCAAAACTCAAAGGCAGTGACCTTAACAGTAGAGATTAGACAGGTTAAGTGACTTTCCAAAGGGTAACAGTAACAATGAGCTCTCCTACCGTAGTAAGATGCTGAGCCAGGCTTGCTCTAAAGAATTCCTTGTTCTTCTAAAAGCATACAGTAGTTCCTGTATTATTATTATTTTTTTATAACTTATGCTGTTTTGCAGGTATGCAGAAATATAGTAAAGGGAAGTATTTAAAAGCAACGCAATTTCATAAAAAAAATAATAAAAGAGCTAATTCTAGCTTTTTTTCCTCAAGCAAGAGAAAACTTTGTAAACTACACTACCAGAAATATAGTCAATGGGAGGACAAAGGCCATACTGGGTTATATAAAAAATATTTGAGAAATATATGGTGTTTTATACTTATTAAAAGCATAAGCAAGGAAGACATTAAAAACAAAACAAAACAAAAAAAAAAACCCTGCCATCAAGTCAATTGTGACTCACAGTAACCCTACAGGACAGAGTAGAACTGTCCCACAGGGTTTCTAAGGCTATAAATCTTAATGGAAGCAGTATGCCTCTTCTGTCTCTTGTAGAGAGCCTGGTGAGTTTGAACCACCAACCTTTGAGTTAGCAGCCCAATACTTAACCACTATGCCATGAGAGCCTTTATTCAAATGCAAGGTTTAAAGTTTTCATTTTTATTGATTAAACCTCTTAAACTTAATTTCAAATTAAAAACAAGTATCTTCTGATTAGAGCGCTAATGAAAATTCACATTACCTAAAAATTGGTAACAACTGTTAAACATATACCTTCTGCTTATCTGTTTGTGATCACTGAAAATTATACCCAGCTGGAGGAGCATCCCACGAGTTTGCTAACGTACCATAAAACTTGCAAAAGCTGGAACTATGTAAGGCAGAAACCTATCAGAGAAGGAAAACTCAGATATATTCCACTGAAATGAATGACAGAAAAGTGGTAAGACTGCACTCTGTCAAAGGTGGAAAACTTGCAAAATCTGAAAAAATGAGACCATTGCCAGCAAGTGCCGGCTCCCATGGGTTTCACTGTCCTGTATTAGATTTTACCAGGAATCTTCACTTTGGCTGATCATCACCTTTGCCTGTTCACAGTTTGATCAACTATTTCATTTACTAGGAATCTCTTTATTAGCATACTTACTCACTCCAACTACACTGCAACCAGCAAAATATGTTAGTAAGTCAGGCCTTTAACATAATTCTTCAGACATGTTTCACACTGTGTAAAAGATTAGGCACATGTGTATGTATGCGTATGTTCAAAAACACAGTGTATATTTAAAAATGCTACACTTTTAAAATAGTTCAAGAAAATCTTAATAAATCTGGAAGGGACACGAGCTATACTAAATTCTCCTTCTAAATGGGTGAGGTAGAAATATATGAGATCTACGAGGAAACCTCAAAAGTAGTGTTGGTGGAAGGCTGACCTCCATCACATTGTTAGTAAGGTTGCCACACAAACAGCTGAACCATCTAATTTTCTTTTCAAAAGGTGAAACGTCTCAAAGACTGAGAACAAGAGAGATTATTAAAAACTCACCAACTGCGAACACTCAGCCCTTTGATATTTAAGAACTGGGTATCTAAAACTGCAATAATTATGAATATTACTCTTTTGCCTTTATGAATAAATTTAGATGTAGAAGTAACAGATTTAGATGTTTAATATTAGAAAACTCTCCTCACTGATTCAGCCTTACAGATACTAGGAGGGTAAACTTAGTAGTGTAGTAAGATAAAATATCCTCTTAAAATAGAAAAAATATTTCTCTATATAATTATATTGCACAATGAGTATCTTAACTTATTTACAAATAACTACCATACATGCTTACAAACAAGTTTTATGACAGAATTTTGATTACAGTAGAATATAAGTTCTATGTAAGAACACAACAATGGACTTAGACTCCGAATGGCTAGATCATCCCTAGCACAGAACACATGATTAGTAGATGTTAAACCCAATGCATTTGTCCTGGCTACCTTTTGAGTAATAATGTCTATGAGCTGTTTTGTAAGAAAAATGCTCTGAATTCAATTTTTGAAAAATAACACTGAATACTTGTGATCTAGTCTCAAGTATTTGACAAATTATAGTTTTTTAAAATTTATTTGGTAAATTCCTAATCTGTTGGACTTTAACAGTTTTACTCCATGTATTAACCACATGTGTGCTTGATCTTTCAATTGGTCCTATTTTCAGGCTCCTTTAATTTGTTTGAGGACTATTCATTCAGTTAGAAAACAAGTCCTCTTGAGGACAGTTAATACTCCTGAAAATGAGGAACCCAACACATGGTACTGGACTTGAAACATTTAAAACCAATTACACACTGGGGGAAAAAAATCATAATGATCATAACCTCTCCCTATCAATAACTCTGATCATTAATGTTGAAAGTTATTCATAACAACCACAATTTACTGAAATGGAGTCATTAAGCCACCTTAGAAGTGGATTACTGAATCTTCCTCCTACTACTGACGACTCTCAAATGCCTTCTTCAACTGTGATAATGAATGACTACTCAATTTTAAAGAAAATGAACCATATTACTTTTTCATTCTTATATTTTCCCAAGGAATAAGTATCAACACAAAGGTAGATTTGTAAGATATTTTAAAAGCATAGAAACTTTTAGGATCGGTAATACAGCAGTCACCTCACCAAACTGTATACCTAGAAATTCAGAATAAGTACCAGCAGTAAATCATCTTGCATATGTCCAAAATTAAACAAAATTTTAAAACATCAACATATGTCCTATTTTTTTAAAAAAATGGTCTATAATGTTCCAAATCAAATCTTAATGTTATGTCCAGAATGAAAACTTCCAATTCCTTTGCAAAACGATGCTCATGTTCAAGAAAAAGTAATATTACAGGGTGCTATTTGTGTCTAAGGAGCTCTGGTAGCATAGTGCCTAACGCACTCAACTGCTAACCAGAAGGCTGGCGGTTCAAACCCACCAGCCACTCCTCGGAAGGAAGGTTGGGCAATCTACTTCCATAGTGATACTGTCTTGGAAACCCAAGGAGGGGTTGCTATGAGTCGGGTCTGACTCAATGGCACATAACAATAACAACATTTGTGTCTAAGGAGCTCTGTTGGTGCAGTGGGTAAGCACTTGGCTGCCAACCAGAAAGTCCTAGGTTCAAATTCATCTGCTGCTCCATGGCAGAAAGATGAGGCAGTCTGCTTCTATAAAGATTATAGTCTTAGAAACCCTATGGGGCAGTTCTACTCTGTCCTTTAGGGTCACTGTGAGTTGGAATCAACTCAGTGGCAAAGAGTTTTTATTTTGTGACCACAGGCCTCCTTGGTGACACAAATGACTAATTTGCTCACACTCAGATTTGTGTGATTTCAGTAGTGTGACTTGAGTCTTTTGTGGAATATTTGACATTTGTTTGGTCTTTTTAAAAGCAAATGCTACAGATAGTAGACACAAGTTAATTCTCGTGATAGGAAAGGCAAAAAGGGACGTCAGCACAACTTGACCAGGGTTAATGAAGACACTGAGAAGTGTGCAAAAGAAAGGACAACTATGGTAAATATACAATTGTGTAACAACAGTAACAACCAAAAACCATGTGAGTAGTCATATAGGTAGATATGTATGCTATATGAGTGTCAGAAGGTATATGGGGATACACACATATGCATATATAGGTATATTTCTGGGCATATGTATATACCTGTTTATATGTGCTACATATCATCATATACATTCATATTTACAACAAAGCAAATATGGAGCACAGTTATGGATACTTCCTAGACATATCCAAATACCATGTAGGATGATTAACTAGGTTTGAAGACATAGCACCATAATCTCATGGAACAAATGTACTACATCCTAGTTTGGTAAGTAGTGTCTAAAGTCTTAAAAGCTTGTGAGCGGCCATTTAAGACAAAACTATTGGTCTTTTCCCATCTGGAACAAAGGAAACTGAAGACTCAGGGAAGAAATTAGTCCAAAGAACTAATGGGCCATGCAAACCACAGCTTTTTCTAGCCTGATACTAGAACTAGACGGTGCTTGGCTACCAACACTGACCGTTCTGATCGGGGCACAATAGAAGATCCCGGTTAGAAAGGGAGAAGAACGTAGAACAAAAGTCAAGTTCATAAAAAAAGACCAGATTTACTGAACTGATAGAGACTAGAGGAACCCCTGACACGACTCCCCTCCGATACTCTTTTAATCTGAAATTGAAGCTGCTCCCAGAAGTCACCTTTCAGGCAAACAAGCTGTCTTATAAAATAAACAATAACACCCATGAGGAATGTGCTGCTTTAAACAATCAACTACATGAAACCAAATGGGCAACATTTGCCCAAAAGCAAAGATGAGAAGGCAGGCGGGGTAGGGAAACTGGATGGATGTGGCACACAGAGTGAAAACAGTGAGAATGCCGACACATCACAGGGACTGTAAGCAACGTCACGGAACAATGTGTGTATCAATTGTTGAGTGGGAATCCAATTTGCTTTGTAAATTTTCACCTAAAACACAATATTCAAAACAAAAAGGAAATAAAATGCCATGACATAAAAAAAATTTTCCTTCAGATTGGATATCCTTTGCACTTTCTTTTTTTTGGCTTTCCAAGTTTTCTATTTACATAACTAACAATACTTTGTAATCAAAAAATAAAGCCATGAATTAAAAATAATTTTCAAATAGCTTTCTACTCAACCTATTTAAATGTCTCAATGACAGAGCTTAAATGAACTAAGTGAAAAATACAGCCCTTAAGATAATCCTGAACTGTAGCAAAAAAAAAAAAAAAATTCAGAAGAAGAAGAAACAATTATTGATTCATCCAAAATGTTCATAATTAATGGGAATATATGTTTTTAGGGTTATTTAAAAATTTCCTTCCTACAACTAAAATTCACACTAACTTCCTCAACCATTTAAATACTGTGACGACCAACTCATAAGAGCTACAACATAAATATTCCACAACTAAGTTTACATTTACAGAATGGTTCAGTGGGACAGAAGAGAGACTAGAATAATAGTCACAAAAGTGAAATGTGAGATTAAGTGCCACAAAGATAAATGCATATTATTCTAAGCTATGCCCAGAGACTCACTCATAATCAATGAAAATATGCTTTCATTCATATAAATAAATTCTCCTTTGCATTTATACATACTGGAGGGAGAGGCTAGAAAACGCTTCTGTTTTTCTTACTCCAAGAGCTTAATTCAAAAGTGATTTTATTTATATCATTCTTTCTGAAAATGTGGCAAAAAGGCCACATTTTGAATTTTCAGTTTGAAAAATGAAGCATACTAAATTATATCTTTTTATTTTGAAAAGATGACATATTTAATTTATTGAATAAATAACATGCATACGATTTAACTTTCTAAAATTATTTCTATATCTATATCTATCTATATATATATATACACATACGTTGTTGTTGCT